CAATATATATATATAATATTATCAAAATTGTGTGTTACATCGGATGTAGATCATTTTCTTGACATAAGGAAATCCTTGATTTACCCCCTAACGCGACGGGTAGCGATTTTCAAACCGGTTTGGAACCCTAATCAAAATTAGCCCAACTGGATGTCAACGTTCAATTTTTCAAATTTAATTATTTTTAAATCCTAAATAGAATATAAAGCAGATGATAATAGTAAAGAAAAATGTAAAAATTAATGAATTTCTTATATAAGCCAAAAAACTTTATCATCAATAAGTCAGCTTGGATAGGTCAAAAACTTCAAAACGCCCAAAGTAGAAATACTCATTGTCTCTAGCAATTTCCTATATTCATAAATCGTTAAATTAATTAAACTCGTAATTTGGTATAGCTTGTAATCTCGTGACATAACTGAAATTAGAATCCGTAGAGAATTATAACCCAAGAAATAGTATATCCAAAGGGAAAGTTGCATCGACTTTTATTGCTAAAGCGTCCTTAGTAATAAAAAGAATAAAAATAAAAAATAAAAGTATTGAAAGAAAATACTTAACTGACATCCCAATTGCTGATCCTGTGATTGTAAATTCTCTGACTGCTTAATGTAGATTAACTTTTAGTAGTTTTATTGTTAGATAACCTTCAGGAAAGTGGACATCGGAAGTTGAGTAACAATACCTTCGTAATTTGGGATTTCAAGTAATGTAGAGAAATGAAATCTCAGAGTTAGTTCTGAGTCTAAACTTTTCCAATAAGCTTCAATTATCATGCTGCACTTCGTAACGAGTTGAAAGATTCTTTACTATTATACTGGTCCTGAGATTGTTCGAAAAAAAAAAAAAAAAAAGTGAGAAACATCTCAAATAGTTAAATCAAGTCAGAATGGCTAGATGCGAACACATCAACAGTGTCATATATAAAGGAAGTCGCATAACAGATCCGCTACCAGAATCTGCGGACAATTATCACATCTATTTAGGCTTACAAACTGGGATGACAGAGCCTCAATCTCACCACAGGGCGTAAGTGTTGTCGGGAGCGAAGAGCCTAGTAAAAAGCTACTAGGCTACTTACGAGGTTAACAGTGCCCACCCTTTGGGAACGAATTCCCGAGAAGGGGTGCAAGAAGCCACCACGCTGACGCCCAATAATCAGGTAGGGATGTCATTGGCTTGTCCGGATCAAACCAATGGCATCCTTAAATGCGGGCATTTTGATTCTATGTAAATTAACTAACCTTCATCGTACATAAAATGTTCTAGCCTTCTTAAAATTTTTATATATTTAGATATCGGGAATTCGCTTAAAACACGGTAAAAAAATTCGTTGTAGTTTGTCCGCCGTGATTAGTGATGCATCGTAAGAGTCGAAATTAGCCCAACCGGAAGTGATGCGCAGTTCAACGTTCGAATTTTCAATTTTAATTATTTTTAAATTTAAATCCTAAATTGAATAGATTTAAAAAGTAAAGCAGATAATAAATAGTAAAGAAAAATATAAAACTTTATTATATAAAAAACCGAAATTTATCACTAATAAAGTCAGCTTGGATAGAGTTCAAAAACTTCGAAAGTCCAAAGTAGAAATATTGTCTCTAGCAATTTACCATATTCATAAATCATTAAATTGATTAAACTTGTAATTTGGTCATAGGTCGTAATCTCGTGACACGACTTGAAATTAGAATCCGTAGAGAATTATAACTCAACTGCACTAAGAAGAAATAGTATATCATAATTAGTAAATACAGGTGTAACTGGTTAATTCATTTAAATTGTCGTTACATTCATGTAACCAAATCTCCGAGTTAGCTCCGAGTCTAAACTTTTCAAATAAACGTCAATTCGAATCTAATCATCACTTTGCACCGAATTAAAAAAAAGGTTATAACTTGTTCGATAAAACTAAAATTGTAGAGAGCAAAATATTTTGATTATGAACCAATGCCATTAAATTAAAATCAAAATGCTCTGCTTCACTATAGCGTACAAAGTAAAAATACGATTCTTTACTATTATACTGGTCCTAAGGTTTGTTAAAAAAAAAAAAAAAAAAAAAAAAAAAAGTGAGAAACATCTCAAATAGTTAAATCAAGTCAGAATGGCTAGATGCGAACACATCAACAGTGTCATATATAAAGGAAGTCGCATAACAGATCCGCTACCAGAATCTGCGGACAATTATCACATCTATTTAGGCTTACAAACTGGGATGACAGAGCCTCAATCTCACCACAGGGCGTAAGTGTTGTCGGGAGCGAAGAGCCTAGTAAAAAGCTACTAGGCTACTTACGAGGTTAACAGTGCCCACCCTTTGGGAACGAATTCCCGAGAAGGGGTGCAAGAAGCCACCACGCTGACGCCCAATAATCAGGTAGGGATGTCATTGGCTTGTCCGGATCAAACCAATGGCATCCTTAAATGCGGGCATTTTGATTCTATGTAAATTAACTAACCTTCATTGTACATAAAATGTTCTAGCCTTCTTAAAATTTTTATATATTTAGATATCGCGAATTCGCTTAAAACACGACACGGTAAAAAAATTCGGTGTAGTTTGTCCGCCGTGATTAGTGATGTATCGTAAGAGTCGAAATTAGCCCAACCGGAAGTGATGCGCAGTTCAACGTTCGATTTTTCAATTTTAATTATTTTTAAATTTAAATCCTAAATAGAATAGATTTAAAAAGTAAAGCAGATGATAAATAGTAAAGAAAAAAATGTAAATAGAAAAAAAATTAATGAATTTATTATACTGTATTTGCGACCAAAGTTTACCATCAATAAAGATAACTTTCCAGTATAGTATATAGAAAAGTGTCACTTGACAATTCATCATCTGGAAATTCAGAAAATGATTAAAGTCCAATCGTATGTAATATAATGCGTGTATCTGGGTAATTTAATATCTGGACGATAATTTAGAACAATGAAAGCATCGACTGTTACTACCAAAAACGTTCTTAGTAATAAAAAGGAATAAAAATAGAAATATTAAAAGAAAATACTTAACTGACAAACTAATTGTTGATCCTGGGATCATCGTAGTATCGATAGAACACTCTAATTCTTCATCCGTCGATCAAATCATACCATATTAGCAGGGACGATCATTTTGTGCGTTTACGAAATTTGCGGATTATAACGCTGGCCGACTTTACGTAATTCCAGCCAATCGCAGAATTTTTGCAGAATCATCTTTTATCGCGGACGGAATTGGCATTTTGTCACCGCAGAAAATCATCGTCCCTGCTTTTGAGTAGTGTTATTGCTGGGGGCCGCCTTAAAAAACATTATTTTGTTACATTCGTAAAGATCAATTTCACGTAGAACAATAGAGAATTTTGGTCAGTATGAAAAAGAAACTACCTTACGTAATAAAACTAAAGGCCTTCTATAAAATTACTAACCTTCACTTTTTAATATTATCAAAATTTCACTTTCATGGCATCTGCTAGATATTGTTCTACATAACCCCTTTTACCCTATATTAATTTTTCGTTTTGCATTACCCGCCGACCATTTTTTCAATTTTTCGAAAAATTTTTTTTTTTTAAGTTCCAACTGAGCTCCATAAATCAATCCAGCATCACCCGATAGAGACCTTATTTTTCCGAAATTGTCCGATAAAACTGATAAAAAAATTCGATTGCCGACCAATTATGATTCCATGTTATGCAAACCGAAAAACTAAATACGACGACCCTTTTCTAAGAAAAAGATAATGAAATAAACAATCCTGAAAATTATTATCGAAATGAAAACGAATAATGAGAAACATTAGGATCAGTATGCGGTCTGCTATTGTCAAAGTCTATAAGGCTACGCAAAGTTAATTTTTCGTTTTGCATTACATGGGTTCAAAATCAACGGTCGGTCGGTCGGATTTTTTTTTATTTTTTATTTTTATTTTCTTTACAGCTGTTCTCATAAATTTTGGGACATCTGGTAAAAAATTGACCAAATGATTTTAGGCCGATTCGATAAGTTTA